TCTCCCTTCCCTTCTCTCTCTTTTTGTTTCTAAACATTTCTATTAGTATACTTGCAATGATTATCATCCTCGTGTGATTATCATTACTGATATTGCATTTCCGCCATTTCAATATCATAATCACTGTAATTACAATAACCGTTATCATCATCTTCATCGCACTCACCATCACCTTCATTATCATCCTCATCACCATCACCCTTTGCTTCTCAGTGAGTCAGTCATGATACGTTTACATCTACTGAAACTTTCATGGTGACTTTTCTTAGAATTTGAAAACAACGACGAAAAGTCATATTCCCCCAGACTATTGTTGGCATCCTAGTTTATTTACAATAACCTTTTGTATAACGCAAGTTTCATATTTCTTTTTCTTATGAGGATAAACCAGAATATTATATTTTTTTTCCCATTTCCTCTTCTTGTTTCTATCTTCTATCTTCATATTCTTTCATTCTCTCGTTCCTCCTAGTTCTCCTACATTTCACTCGCTAGAAAAGCTTCATAAGATCGTTCTCCCGCTGGTTAATACCACCATAAAGGCCTTAAGGATATGCTCTTAACTGATCCTCGACGGGCTGCTGGACATGGACAGTTGCCAATTAACTTTTACTTTTCTTTTGTTTTGATTTATTGTTCGTTATTTTCTTTGCGATGGCAATTATAACAGTGATGATAGTGATAAATATAATAATTGTGAGCATAATCATGATGAAGATGTTAATAATGACTGTGATGATAATAGTGATAATGTTTATAATAATGATAATAATAATAATGATAATGATAATAATAATAATAATAATAATAATAATAATAATAATAATAATAATAATAATAATAGTGATAATAATAAAATAATAATAATAGTAATAATAATAATGATAATGATAATAATAACAGTAACTAATGGTGACAATAACAATAAAAATAATAGAAACAATAATAATAATAAAATTAGTAATGATAATGATATGATGATGATAACAATAATAACAACAACAACAACAAAACAACAACAATATAATAATAGTAATAATAATAACAATAACAATAATGATAATAATTAAAAGGATAATAAAAATAATAATAATAATAATAATAATGGTAAAATATTAATAATAACAACAATGATTATGATGATGATTGATATTAGTAATAATGATAATAATAACAATGATAATGATAATAATAATAATGATAATAATAATAATAATAATAATAATAATAATAATAATAATAATAACAATAATAATAATAAAACGATATCAATAATACTGTAAAAAAATCTCCCCGTTTTTCCAGCTACGAATTCCTGTGTCGCCGTTTTCATCTGTTATCCTTTCCCTCCCGTTTATGTTATTCTTTCATTACTCTTGTTCTCTCTTTCTCACTATTAATAGCAGCGACGGACGCACTTCCCAATTCAAAATGTTTATCTCCTCTGGGTTCTAAATATAAAACAAACAATTTTATTTCCTACTTTTAAATGTGTGAATGTGAGGGAGGGAAAGCGTTTGCCAGAGGAGGGAAGGGAAGGAGGGAAGGATGGAGGGAAAGAAGGGAGGGAGGGAGAGTCCTTGATAAGGAAGAAAGGGAGGGAGGGAAGGAGGGAGGGAAACTGTTTGCAGAGGGAGAGAGGTATGGAGGGAAATTGTTTGTCAGTGGAGGGAAAGGAAAGGAAGGAGGGAGGGAGAGTACTTGGCAAGGTAGAAAGGGAGGGATTGAGGGAAACTGTTTGCCAAGGAGGAGGGAGAGAAAAGGAAGAAGAGAAAAAAATGTCAAGGGAGAAAGGAAGGGAGGGACGGAGAAAACTTGCCAAGGGAGAAAGGGAGGGAGGGAGGGAGGGAGGCAAACTTATTGTCAAAGGGAAAGGGAGGCAAGGAAAGTACTTGGCAAGGAAGGGGAAGGGAGGGAGGGAAGCCTATTGCCAAAGGAGAAAGGGAGGGAAGGAGGGAAAATGTTTCCCAAGGGAGGGGAAAGGAGGGAGGAAGAGTACTTGCAAAGGGAGAGGGAGGAAGACTTATTAACAAGGAAGAAAGGGAGAAGAAACCTTAAGCTTTACTTCCTGTTCCGGGAAACCAGCCTGTCGGAGGTGTCTTATGAAGGGAAGTTCCTACTTGTCCATACGACCCTCGAGGCTCAGCGACGCCCCTTATCTCTAGATTTTGTTATATAAACTCTATCTCCAGCTATCTCTAGCTATCTATCTATGTGTCTACTTCTCCCTCTGTCTCCCTCTCTCTCTCTCTCTCTCTATCTCTCTCTCTCTCTCTCTCTCTCTCTCTCTCTCTCTCTCTCTCTCTCTCTCTCTCTCTCTCTCTCTCTCTCTCTATATATATATATATATATATATATATATATATATATATATATATATATATATACATATATATATATATATATATATATATATATATATATATATATATATATATATATATATATATGTATGTATATATATGTATATATATATTTACAACAACATATATGGCATTGGCTTAACATCTATCTTTTTGGACCATTTTTCCTTTCACATTTCTCAGTCTTTCTCGAAGCTCGAAAAGACCATTGAACCATTTCTGAATAATATTTGTCCTCGGTGATTGTCCAGAAACTTTCAGATATAAGATGTGTAATTTCCATGACAAAAGAAAAGGAGAAAAGAAGAGAAAAAGAAATGGAAACTATTAACGGCACAAGAAATACAAGATGAAAATGGAAAAAAAGTGGTGGGGGCGAGAGAAAGAGAGAGAGAGAGAGAGAGAGAGAGAGAGAGAGAGAGAGAGAGAGAGAGAGAGAGAGAGAGAGAGAGAGAGAGGGGTGGAGGGAGAGGGAGAGAGAGAGAGAGAGAGAGAGAGAGAGGAGAGAGAGAGAGAGAGAGAGAGAGAGAGAGAGAGAGAGTGGTGGAGGGAGAGGGAGAGAGAGAGAGAGAGAGAGAGAGAGAGAGAGAGAGAGAGAGAGAGAGAGAGAGAGAGAGAGAGGAGAGAGAGAGAGAGAGAGAGAGAAGGAGGAGAGAGAGAGAGAGAGAGAGAGAGAGAGAGAGAGAGAGAGAGAGAGAGAGAGAGAGAGAGAGAGAGAGAGAGAGAGAGGGAGAGGGGGGGTTGGGGGGAGGGAAGAAAGAGACAAAGGGAGGATCGAAAAAAAAAGAAAGAGCGGGGAAGAGAGAGAGTTTCGCAACTCCTCTGTTTTCCTTTTGTGAACTTATGAATGTTTTATTGAGCAAGATTATTGTTAGCTATCCCTGGAATCCAATGGGCACTGTAAGCCTGGCTCCCGTCACGATAATCTTTACCAATGTATGATATGCAAATCAGAGAAGCCATTGTTTGATAACAGCCCACCATTATGAATTTATATAAAAAACTTCGTAAATATTCCTATTATTATTCACTGATAACAATAACGCTACTGAGGCCACTGTATTGAGGATAAAGCATAACGATAAATACATTACCAGACTTGCATTATCGTTGAATATCGACTTCGCACGTCCTGCCGCTTCGTTTTCTCGTTTACTCTCTCCTCTCTCTCACTCCAGCCGCGAGAGTCAAAGCCACGTCGGGAAAATGATTTGGGGGGAAAAAACCTTTCTAAACCATTACACTTGAAATAGATTTTACAGCACAGTTATTTTTTTGTGACGAAGGGGTTTACCTGTTGTTTTTCGACACGTTAAGTGGTTTAACTATCTGCCTTGATCGCCGTTTGACATCCAGATATGACGACGAAAGTAGTTGACGAGAAGCTGCGAGGGAGGGAGATGGAATGCAAACATTATTATCATTATTATCATTATTGATGTTATTATTATCATGGTTATTCTTTTTTATTACCATTAATATCCTTATGATGGTTATAGTCATTATAGTTATTATTGTAATTAATATTATCATTATCATTGATATTATTATTGTTATTATTGTTATCATTATTATTATTACTATTATTATTATTATTATTATTATTATTATTATTACTATTATCATTATTATTGTTATAATCATTACTATTATTATTACCCTTACCATTATTATTATCATTACCATTATCATTACTATTAATACTATTGTTATTATCATTATTGATATTATCATTGTTATTGTAATTATTATCCTCTTTATTAACATATTTATGATTTTCTTATAAGAAGCTTCCGTTGGATGTATTAACAGTAATAATTAGTTTACCTATCTTTCTATTAATCTCTCCTTCCACTTTCTTCTTCTTCCTTCCATCTACATCTTTGTATATCTTTATATCTATATTATATTTTTATATAATTTATTATATCTATATCTATATTTATATTTATATTGATATTATTTATTATATTTGCATTTATATTATTTAGTATATTTCATTTATATTTATCATATATATATTTACCACATTTATATTTACATCCTTATACTTATAGCTTTTATATCTTCTCTTTATATCTCCTTTACATCTCTCGAACTCAGGTCACCGAGTCCGATGCTCTAACCACTCGGCCACCGCATTTTTTTATCTATTTTAGAAGTCCTTATATATTGTTGAATTCCCTTCTCTGGCCTCCTTTTTGTCATTGATATTATCAGCATTTCATTGGAATCATTTTTTTTAGATTTTGTCGATTTTTCTTCCTCCTCTCTTTTCTTTTTATGTTCTTTGTGTGTTTGTTTGTTTGTGCGAATCTGCGTGTGTATGGGAGAGGTTGATAGATAGATAAATAAGTAGAGAATAGGAGAAGGGGATTTTTTTTTTCTATTTCTCTTCCTCACCCCTTTTCTTATTTTCACTATGTTTCTGTATTGTGAGTGATTCTTTGTTTGTTTGTTCGAATCTGCATGTGTGTGGAGGAGTTTAATATATATATGAATAGACATAGAATTAGAGATGGACAGATAAATATAGTGATAAATAGACAGATAGATAGATAGATAGATAGATGGATAGACTAATTAGAACTATGAATAATGATAAAGATGATACTATTTATGATATTGATAATAGCA